TGTTCAATTTGTGTAAATAAATGATTGCATAGTCTTTTATGAATCAACTTGGACTCGTCTGAACGTTCACTTATTGTGTCACTTTTCACTTCACACAGTCAAGAAATTGACAAGTAATGAGAAATACCTTGGTAAAAGTTTCCTCATAACCTTGTGTATGAGAGATGTGGGAAAAGCTTATTTCACCTTAAGCTCACTCTTACAGTATTCAGCTGCAGGTGTGCTGTTTGTGTGTGTGTGTGTGTGGACTATACTTATATTAGTTTATATCCAGTTTATAAGCCTCACATTGTTCTTCCAACGCAGCCATATTCTTTGAAATGTGTTTGACTGGAATGTCCTCGTTTAATGTAATTAGCTTTCCCCACAAAGCCATATTCAGCCTGGCACTGTGTGTCATTTCCTCCTAAATGGCTCCTTTATTGCTTTATTTGAATAGGTATAGCATGTGCGCAGTGAAATATGAACAGCTTTGTTTTTAGCTCTTGTGTTATCTGAGGTTAGCAGTGCTTAGAGTAGAAATGACACATGGCTGTGCCTCRGAGTTCTCTCTTCTTTCTGTGCGACTGCTTGCTCTCCAAACAAACCCACTGTCATGAAAAAAGGGGGGGAAAAAAACCACTTTTAAATTATTCACCAGCTCTAATTGGCTGCTTGAATGAGGACCACACTAAATTTCTTCTTTGTTGTGTTTTGGGAAGTGTTTCTGCAACAACATGCACTTAATGAGCTTATTATAACTACAGTAGTGTGTCCTCGTGTGCATAAACTATTTTTTAAAATTCAAATTTTTGCTTCGTTATATAGGACAGTTTGTGTCACAGCAGTGCAGTTGTCGGAGAAAGTCTCAGGATCGCCTCCTTTCAGGGTAGAGTTTTCATGTTCTCCCCATGCAATTGTGTGTTTTCTTTGGGTACTCTGGTTTCCTACCACAGACCAAAATCATGTGTCTTTGGTAAAGTGGTAACTAGATAGTCCCTAGGTGTGAATGAGCGTGTGGTTAGTTGCGGTTATAGGGCAGGGATCTGGAACCTACAGCTCTCTGGTCTGCAGCAGCTTTTTGAAGCTCTGACCAAAACTCACGAGATTTAATCTTTTGTTTTTTAAACAACGGAGTAGGSCAGCTTCAGTGGTTTTCCTATCAATCTGTTCGTGAAAATACAAGGAAACAAGGAGTTTATTAGATCTCCTTTCCCCATACTGTAAAACGTCCCTATTCTTCATTTGTATATACAGAAACTCTGATTTCTCTTATTTTTTAAAGCACATTTTTGTTTCTATTTTATTTTAACTTGTCTATTTTATTGTATTGTGTACTCTCCTAATGTTATTTTATCGTGTCTAAAAAAGCAAGCACCTTGGAGAAGCAAACCCATTTCATTGTAATGCAAATTATAATGACAATAAAGGCGATACTGATTCTGAAAAATATTTTAAAAAAAATCTGATTCTAGTTTTTTGGCCACTTCAGTAATCCTACTTCCAGGATGTTTTTTTCTCTCTCAAACCCATAAGGATTTTTTAATATCTCCAAGACAAGATGCTGAGATGAAATATAATGAGTTGATTGCATAACAATAAGTATTGGGGGGACAAGTTTTATAATGTTACCTTCACTGACCAGAAAAGCCCCCCATCAACAAACTTGAAATGGCCCACGAGCCACCAGTTGATAATCAAAGTTATAGATGTTTTCTGGCTCCTACACATTTTATTAGTGAACCATGGGGCACAACGCTCTGGGTTAGGGTTGGGCATGTCCCAGTAATTGTTACCCATATAGCAACATTTGTCTGGTCTGGATCTGGTCCACGTAATGCACTCGGCCCAGATACAGCAAAGGATTACAACCCTTTGGTGGCCCAGACCTGGTCCATGCATGGGCCAGCACCACACAAACCAAACCACAACCAGTTATGGCATCATAAAAACAATGACATCATTGGCGGATCTGGCCCACACCTGTCTGCAAGGCTCAGGGTCAGACTGCAGACATGAACAGAAGTCAAATCAACACGCTAATAAATATTTTTTATGTAACTTTATGTATATTTGAGCTGTTTTGAGGTGTTGTGTTCTGTACAGACAGCTGTTGTCTCCTCTCAGTGTAACACACTCACCTCCACATTGTGAAAAATAAAACACAGAAAAGAACAGTTGCCTTTGGTGAGTAGAAAATACAATTTGCCAGATTTTGTTAGTGTAAAAGAACAGATAAAGGCAACGTGACAATGACTCAATAAGGTTTAAAACAGGTGAACAGTTGGGCAGCAGAGTGCATCAAGGGATAAAAAAATCCATGTATTGATTTATGTTTATATTTCTTCTCTCTGTGTTGGTGTTTTCCTGCAGACTGATCGGGACTTTCTGTATGGTGCTTCAGAAGGTGGCTGAGGAGGGACATTTAGAGCTGACCGACACACTCGTTGATGACAACAACACATCGATCAAGGTACAAAGTGACTGTTCACCATCAGCAGCTGGGTCCAAATTCACGCGGAGCTTTTCCGTGTTGTAGAATTGTGCATGAGTTCTTTAAAAAGTGGCAAAATATAGAAATTAAACCTGACACTGCTGCAGTGGTGTCTCTTGATAAATCCTGCAGCTCTTAATGACCCCTACCTCACACACACACACACACACACACTTATCACTATGCTCTTATTTTGGGCAATTTTAAGCTTTATGTTGTTTTTCTCTTTTTAATGTTTTTTTTTTCTGAATTTGAATGTTTTTCTACCTCAATGTTGAAGCTGCTGGCAACTTGTGAGTTTCCTTCGGGATAACAAAGTCTTATTTTATCTTATCTTATCTTAGCTTCTCGTGAAGCACTGAAGAAATCTGAGTGAAACTCCGAGAAAGTAATCATTGGGATAATTGGGAGTTAAAATGAACAGCTAATCGACATTAGCTGAGACAAAAATGGCTATAATTTAATGGTTAATGAACTGCACCTTTCATCCAACCAGGATAGTTGATTTTACAGCTATTGAGCTAACATTTTCTGTGAGTTGTCCTCAACACAAACTCTGAACACTATCAAATCCTGCAAAATCTCAAAATACTCTGCATGAGAATTTAGAAAGTGTTGACCAAAACTATTGTTTATCTATTTATTGCATGATTTTTGAGTTTACTTGTGGCCTTCACTAAACACTTTAAAGCAGAGATTGTTAACCCATGGGCCATGAGCGCCACCTTGAGCTCCTCAAAAGAACATCAGTTTTTAACTTTGGGCCGCAGAGGGCCGCGGGACCGCATTGATTTTAAATAAAGTGCAATACACTTTCTCACCACTAGCAGCAGTAGTGCACCACTCAGATGTTTAACAACTTTTTTTACACGTAGAAGAAGAACCTTAGAAACCTGCCGAGAATGGAAACGTATTTTAAATGAAAGTAACTCATCAAAAAACACCAAAATTTGTCACTAATCTGAAGTGCAGCTTCTGTTTTTACCATGCAACATTTTAAAAGTTCAAAGCATCATCAAATACAGTTGCAGAACTATATTTTAATTTGCACTTAAAATAAATTTTTGTAGTTTATTTTTAAACATTTTGAGTGTATTTTAAAGAAATTTTAAACTTGTC